GCGGCATGGCTATTCCGCTCTTAATCGGGCAATACCGTTGACAAGGAGCTCGTCAAGCATTTAGCCACTCAGACCGGTTACTTAAAAGAGGTATTAAAGGGCGTGGTCGTCGTTGTCAAGCTTTCAGCTGAACGAAGGTTAGCGTTTAGGGGAAGTGAGGAGGTTTTTGGTTCCCCGCGACATGGAAATCATATGGGAGTGCTTGGAGCCATTGCCAGTGCCGTACCAACTTGTTTTTGAGTGGGGGGGCAAACCAGACCCTCTCCCCGCCCCCCAAATCGAAAATTCGGCGCAACTTTTGTCCAACTTTTCTAAAGATTTGGCAATGATTCGGCAAAATTACAACGTTACCAGACTTAACATTGATATTTTGTTTTCCTCACGAAAAAAATTTTGCTTCTTCTTAAAATAAATACAACTTGTAGTGCCTATTGAAAGAGTTATGACTAAATAAGGTGATATTCTAGAAGATAATTGTATCGATGTCGCTTTTGTGTGTTTACTTGTAATTTTGGTGTATGCTTCCAGAAAGTGGCGTGACAACGAGGTTGGGTAGTAGCCGGCACAGTCACGAATCACACTACGAGAGCTTTGATTTTGAGGCTTCATCAGCGCACGCCTGCAAGTGTGTTTACATTGTTAAAATAAAGGCAATCACTGCGTTCTTACTTTCTCTGGTAGTCGCCGTTTCGTGCGCGAAAACGGATGCAACGGTTGCTGAGCCTTCACCAGAAGAGATAACAATATTGTAAATATGCATGTTTTTCGATTTGAGTCACTTGACGTCAGCTTTGCATGAAAGTGCGCGTTCCATATTCGCAACGTGCCGTTTTTAACCTTTAAAATTCCGGTTTCCGGTGTTCGGACACACACGGACGTTTAGGAAGATGGGGAGAGTTAGGAATGGTCGGATGTGCAACGTCGACCATGATAGTTCTGTGTTTAACGAATATTTTTCATCAGTGTTTACTAACGAGTGCTTGGACTCCGTCCCCACTCTCCCTGAAGAGCTTTACGAGCGCATGCATCCTATTAACGTTAACTCCGCCGGTATTATAACATTGATTGATAAACTAAAACTTACTTCGTCCGCTGGAACCGATAACATCAACTCTAAAATTTAAAAGAAACACCAGTGTTATTTCGAGTGAGTATTTAAAACTTATCTTTATTCAGTCCTTATCTCAAAGGTGCCTTCCATCTGACCAAAAGGTGGGAAGGGTAATTCCCAGTCTTTAAACAGGGCAGCCGCTCTTCCGCATCTAATTATCGCCCTAATTCATTGACTTCAATTTCTTGCAAACTACTTGAGCATATCCTCTACTCCAATATCATGAGGCACCTATCATCCCATTTCTTTTCTTTAAACAGCAGCACGGTTTTCAAAAAGGTACACTCTCCGGCAATATGAAAGACCCACTGGGAGCGCGTGGCCGAGGCGGTGGCTGGCGGGGGCGCTGCGAGCCCTCCGGGCAATTCCATTCTGCTTCGAGGGGAGGACGCTCACTCGGGCTCAGATAAAGCGAAACGCGCTTATCAGTTTGTGCCGAGTGCCGAATGAGCGTCCTCCCCTCGAAGCAGAATGGAACTGCCCGGAGCGCTCGCAGCGCCCCCACCAGCCACCGCCTCGGCCACGCGCTCCCAGTGGGTCTTTCATATCGCCGGAGACAGTACTTTCCTGCGAAACAACACTCTGCGACTTCATCCATGACTTGCACACTAACCTTGAACCTTGAAATGAAAAAACTGACACAGTTTTTTTTTTTTTTTTTTCCAAAGCGTTTGGCCGTGTTTTTTTATCAACGCCTTCTTTTTGAGCTATCATCTTTTTGCCTCGACCAAATAACCGTTTGCACAGATTTGTGACTTTCTTTTTTCCCGTGTACAGGTCACGTCCATGATGATCATGAATCTTCCTTAATAAATGCATCTCCTGGTGTTCCCCTGGGGTTCGTAGAGAGACATATATGAAATCACAAACAAATCCGCTAAAACTTTGTGAAAATTTAGGGCTCACCTTAATAGTTGTAAATGAGTTCGCGCCGTGAAAGAGCGTCCGCATGCGTCTTAGCATTGTCACCGATTGTTACTCACAAAAGCTACTTGTTAAGTAACAAGAGCAACAAGAGCAACAAGAGAGAACAAGAGTATATGTCTCTATATACTCTTTTTAATATTTATTAATGACATCCCCATTGAGATTTCTTCAAAAAACCGCTTTTTCGCCGACGACTGCGTCATCCATAACAAAGTAACTTGTGTGCAAAATAATAACCAGCTTCAGGAAGATCTAGAGAAAATTAACAATTGGTGCAAAGAGTGGATTATGTCATTAAACAAGTATAAACGCAAACTAATCCACTTCACCAAAAAAAAAACCACTGTCATTTAATTACTTCTTGTACTCCGATCTGATTGAGACCGCTACTGTGTATAAATACCTTGGTGTAAGACTAACATCTGACCTTCCCTAAAATAACCACATTGAAGTCATTACTGCCGATTCATCTGGAACTCTTGGACTAAGCAGACGTAACTTAAAAAGGGTTCCACCCTTTGTTCGTAAGCTAACCTTGGACACGTACGTCAGACCAAAAATAGAATATGCTTCAACCATCTGGAATACCCATCGACTGTACCTCATCAATACCCTGTAGAGGCAGTTCAGAACAGAGCTGCTCGCTTCATTTCATCCACTTATGACTTTTTTTTTCAGTGTCTCAGCGCTAAAAACTGAACTAACCATGTCCTCTTTGCAGCTTCGCAGAAAAGTCTCTTAGCTGTGCTTTATTCATAAAATCTACTACCACATTCCCGACCTCAAAACCACTTTGTTATTACCCCCCGACCGAACATCTTCTCGCCTCAACAACGTCTGCACCATCAAGCACATTTCTGGCTCACTAACGCTTTCAATTGGTCATTCCTTTCTCAAGCCATCAGCCACTGGAACAGTCCCCCATCCTCCATTGTCACCATCTTGGACCCTGCTGATTTCTCCTCTGCAGTAAAACTACACCTTTCTTGGCCCATGTGATGGTGTGCGGGGCTAGGCAGATAGGTGAAAACCCTTACGCAGAGCGCCTGCCGGGCCAGACTTGTACGTAGTTCGACTACTTTACTCAAGTTACTGTAGTTTAACTACTTTTCTGGGTAGTTTAGTAACTTTTAATTACATTTATATTCTAGTAATTCGTAGTTTACTTTAACTACTTTTCCGAGTGACTTCCACTCAAATTACAAATTACTTTCTAATTTTAGTGGTTGTTTTGCCTATCAACACAGAAAAGATGTCGGAAGGTCAGCTGATATTTGCAGAGGGGGAAGCATGCGGAGTAGAAAAGGGGGGGATGGGAAGGAAGAAAGTGATTTAGATAGTTTGCCTATCAACACAGAAAAGATGTCGGAAGGTCAGCTGATATTTGCAGAGGGGGAAGCATGCGGAGTAGAAAAGGGGGGGATGGGAAGGAAGAAAGTGATTTAGATAGTCCAAAAAACCCCAAAATTTTAACGAGCCCCCCCACTGCAACAACACTGCTACGAGGCGCGGGGAGCGAACAGACACGACGCAAGAGAGGTCGAGTAACTGTGGGATTAGCTCCGAATAGTGGCGTTTCTTTGTATACCGAAGCTCAAGGAGACTTGACGCATTTGAAGAAAGGGCTTGTCCCCGCGTCTCTCCAATGTAGGAATTCTTGCCCACTACAGGAGGTGCACACACTGCTCCTTTTACGGTGCAGGCGATAGAACCCCTAACAACGACGCTCACGCCGGATGGGCTGCTCGTGTATCACTCGAAGCGCGTTAACCCACCCCCGCGCCTGCGTTCACGCCGCTTCGCGGTGACGGTGTGCGGCTGCTAATTACAAATCTATTAACCCACCTAGCCCCCCCACCCCCCGTACACGCCGCTTTGCGGCGTCCGGTCGGCAACCCAAGCCCCGCTGCCCCCCATGCACTTCCGTAAATAGAGTCGATACGATTTAGTTTAGCGATGTTTCGTCAACAACATTCGTTTTTTTAGTGTTAATGGTAAAAAAGAAATGTAAATATCGCCAAATGCCTCGACAAAACAAAATGTTCGAGAAAAAAAATAAAAAGAAGTAAGCCGGCCCACACCATAAATAGAACCCGGGTCTGACACGTATGAGGCAGACATCTCACCACTAAGTTACGCTACCTCTTCGGAAACTCGCATTGCATCCCTATTGGAAAAACGGACAAGAAACAAACCTGCTGCTTGTACAGTCCTGGTATGACACCATCATAATTTATTGTTATTATACATGCAGCTAGTTTGGTTTTGCGTTCTCCATAACTGGAGATACCGGCACCGCTATGGCTCCGGGTCTGTCTATACTGGCAGCCGGTTTGCTCGCCGATATGACTCGGTATGGCTGGTATGATTTTGCGTCCGATGACCTAGGCGACCGCCATCTTTCCAACGAAACGCCTATACCACAAGACCACCGGTATAACTAAACCATACATGCAGAAAGACGACCGCCATCTTCCACCAAAAACGTCCATCGTTTACCACCGGTATCGTTACATACATCATACATGTCGAAAAATAACATAAGCCGCGTTTACATGAATGCGACTGAGTCGCATTGAATCCAGTTGCCGCATTCAATATGCGGTCATGTAAACGGCATAATGCGCAAAGCGCATCGCATTAAAGTCGCTAGACAGAGGTGGTTCGAGATGGCGAGTGCGCATTCATTCAGTTCATGTAAACGAAGATCGCATCGCATTTTGGAACGGGGAGGATTATCGGAAGGCGCTCGCTGCGGGAGCGAGTGAACAGCTGAGAACATGGTGGCGGCCAACCTCGTCGGCGGCGCGGAGAGCGGTCCCGCAATTTTTTTCCCGAGAACAAACGCAAGCTTTTATTGCGATCATAAGTAAGCGGAATTTAGCGGAGCTGCTCGGTGAGGGCGGCCCCGTCCAAACCTTTGCGAAGTACGACTTGCGCGTCCGAAGGGGTCACAAAGGCTTCGGTGCAAGCACGCATGACACCGAGAGCTCCGATCACTGTAGAGCACTGCATGGTTGCGCAGAACGAGCAGCTCCTACCTCGCTGCCGTTCCTGGCTGCGCAAGAGCCTCTCGGACTCGGGGTCTGGTCGCGATCGGCGAGGTCTGGCGCGGCGAAACGTGGAGGCTTCCTCAAAGCGTGCACACACACGTCGCCTCTCGTTCAGAGTGGACCGGCGGCCCGGACTGGAGTCCTAAACGCCTTGGTTTTGATGCTTCTTCCGTCTCCCAACTTCTTCCACAGCACCGAAGACAGCGGGCGCGATCTTTACGTTCACTGAATGCGTCGAAAAGCCTCCACGTGCGATGCACCGGAAAACGTGGTGCGGCTGGTGCCGGAACGGAACTGACGGAACTGCATAACTTCGAGCTTTGAGTCAACGTGCACGGCAACAAACCTATCGTGACACTAAGCCGCGGATACCGCATCGCCGGTCGACAGGGGCAAATGGCCCGTTGCTCGTATCGTGGGCCGTGATTCGTACTCGGCCAACTCGGCGTCTTTTCGTGGCCCCTCGCGTCGTCGCAACCAGCCGCAAACATACCAGCCCGCGACCGTGGCCGATGTCGGAGAAAAGCGAAACCGAAACGTAAAGCTTCCGCCCAGTGGCTTCCGCTGCCGCGCCTTTTCTAACTTCCCGGCCAGTCCCGGTTTACACACTTCCGGTCGTCGCGGAGATGGCGACGCAGCCAGACGTAGCGGTTTTGGCGCTGGCTCCTTCTGCGTTTTACGGGACAGATGTTTTACGGTCCGTTTCTACTGCGTCTCTGGCTCTCAACTCGACGACGCCTCTCATGGTTCAACCAGGCGTGGTCAGCCGGGGTCAGCACAGCGCGGCCGGCTCAACTCGTCCGATCGCCGGACCGCAGGCGACTTCCGATTTCGGCCGTTAGGCCTAGGATCCGAAGGACTCTGTTTCCGTGAAGCGGTAAGCGAATCTCGTCCCGTTTTCGTTCTACTTTTAAATTACGTTAGGTGCGCTACAGTGTAAGCATGCGTGCCAAGTGTTCGTGACAATTTTGAACTAGAATAATTGTGCTTCATTGCGGTTTGTCATTTACGAAAAAGTAAATCGAGCAATGAACGAGGAGCCATGCTTGAAAACGATGTATGTACGATGTTAACTTCTACCTGGGCGGCTTAAAAAAAAGTCAAGACTGGTTACGGTTGGATGCGAGGCTGGTCCCAATGCAATGGTAACCACTTAGAGCACCTTTCTGAACAGCATGTAAGCAATATAGCGATCAACGAGACGAGCGACGACGAGAAGCTACGAGTGCCGGCGCCGAGCGACGAAGATTTCTCACTCTCGCTGCTTGCGCCGCTCGGTTCCTGGGCTTCTAGAAAACGTCGCTCATCACCTTGATCGCTCACACCAATCGCTTTCATAATGTGTGTCTCGTCGCGCAGCTGACTACCGTGTTTATTCAAACATATGTCGACCTTTTTTTTTCTTTTCTTTTATTTATTTATTTTTTTTTTTTCGGAAATCGTGACTAAAGAATTTCGACCTACATTCGCGACCAAATTTTGCGACCGTACCGGAGGCATGAAGCTATCGAGTCACCGAGCCGGCGTTGCCGTAGAGCTGCGCCGCTTCTTGTTTCAAAAGGCTTTTGTTAAACAACCGAAAACAACAGCGGTGGCCGATGCCGCTATCGCGCGCACCTCTTGGGGCATTGGATTTCGCCATCGCACCTCTAGCGTTCCCCTTGCTGGGCAATGGGGAAGGAGAGGAACGCGATGCGCCATGCACTTTGTCCTCCATCCTCGCAAACGCGCACAAAAAAAGAAAAAAAAAAAGATGTTACTTTTGTTAGTTGCTTGAGGCGGCTCGGCTCGCGTGTTGCTCATGGCGACACGGCGGCTTTGTTTGCGTCTTTGTAGTTTGTCTTTCGTTGCTTCGCTCCTTCTTTCGTTTCTTGTCGTCATTTTGCAACGGTGTCAGTGAAGTATTGTGGCGGATTTGCGAGGATGTCTACCAAGCTGTGAAGTGATGTAAATAAAGGTTTCTTTCTTTTGCCCAAAATTTCCCCTGTTCTTAAAAATAAAAAAAAGTCGACCTATATTTGAATTGTTTTTTTTATTCTCGGTGGGTCCAACAAATAGAGTTCGACCTATTTTCGAGTAAATATGTTAACTTTAATTTTTATTTTGGGTTACGTCGGACGTAACTCGAATGCTTGACAGTTACGTTGGGCGTATCTTTAATTTTTATTTCGGGTTCCGTCGGACGTAACGTTAGACACTGCGTTACACTTAAGAAAAATAGGGGCTGATGGTTCATCATATAAACCAACCATTTGTGTTTAATTAAAGCGAATCACTGGCCTAAAAAAATACTGCTGTCCTATAGGAATGTAGCGCTTCAGATAAATTCGTTAATTTTTGCTTTTAGTCTCTGCCCCACCAGATACAACATCTGGCCTAAAGCAGTGTTCTGGATCTCCTTCCAAGACCTCAGGCGGGTCGTCATTCAATCCAGGAGGCGGCGGCATCTCATGGGCGTGTTGCTGGTGCTTCTTACTGGATGGTGCTACCGAGGGAAAAGTGGTCGTGCTTGGGAAAGGCAAGTATGGCCGCCGTAAGTATAGATATTGTTTTTACCTTTGCTCGAACCCACCTTTAAGAAATGCACAGTTCGCATGTGTGCATCTCTCAATGCTTCTACAGTCGGCTGTTAATATTTGGAGTGCTCCAACTCTGTCAGCGCTAGTTTCTCTAGTTATGCAAATGGGATGCAACACTAAACCACATATGCTCTCGCAACAAACAGTGCTCTGCTGAAGCACGCACTGTGGAATCTACTCTGGCTTTATAATGCAGCACAAAATAGTTGACGCCAAGTATAGCTACTTTTGTGACTCCGTTTTACCAAAAGCTCTGCCGAAATAAACTTGCCACCTTATACGTAGTGCAAAAGAACCTCGCGTGCCTAACCTGGAGAAGGGCATTTTTTTCATAGGTAAATTTTTTCTTAAACCAATACCTTCAGCCTCCTTGAAATGTTAACATCATGTGACACTCAGAAGAACAGTAAACCCCTTAATGTTGGCGAACCTTTAATTTTCGCGGCCTTTAATTTTGCGGAATTCAGTGGCTGCGATTATGTCCTCTGTGACCGATTCGAGAAGAAATAGGGGCTACCAAGATAAGGGGGTTTTACTGTCCATCAGAGGAGAGAGGAAGTCACCTTTGTTTGTATGCAAGAGTAAAACCAACAACAACAATCATGGTGCCGACACTTTGTGAGCCTATCTGTGTCTATTGAATTATATCAATTTTGTTTTTGTTCGTTAAAAATTGTTGCCTGTCCACTGTGGGATGTCGTCTTCAACACGAGCAGTGGTTTTCCTCTGAAGCAGGCAGCATGGACGCGTGCCGCAGCACAACATAGTTTATTTGCAGGTGGTACCGCAGTTTGAAGGATGGTTCGCACAATATGGGGGAATCGTAACTCAATGTTCTACCTCGGGCGTAGACAAGATTTGCTCATTCTAAATCATTTTGTCTACAAATCGGGAACTTGCAACGAATGTACCCGCATGGTTGGAAGGGCCAGACAAGCCTTGCGAGCGCTTCGTTTTCTAGCCTCTCAGTCCTGAACCTACTCACGCACCACATGTGTAGATGTTCCGGTACGTGGGAGCACTTATTTGGAAAATGGTGAATGGCAACTGTTGCTATCTTTAAGGTGGACTGCATATTTGCAGTACTTTTCCTCACTTAAAAATATGTCTTACTAAAAATATGTAGTATAGCCGATGACAAAAAGAGAATGGCTGGGCGTCCTCCAGCACATGCTTGTGCTTTTCACCCCGCTTTAGACAGATGTGCTCGCTCCAGGCTCATCAGGCGCTGAAACGTCATCGAAGGTAGCAGACGGGCTAGAGGTCGAACAACGGAGACTTCTCCCTGCCTTTCTGATGGTGTCAGTGAGCATGTACTTCTATACTCTAACTTAGCTTAACCTGCACAGAGCTGAGTAGAATAGGCTTGGCAAGTGCCCTTATTGCATATGCATTTGTACAGCTGAGGCACTTTCTAAATCAAGAACATTGTGTACCTTACCTTCAAAAACACATCATTTTGGGGGTGCAAAAGGAATTCTAAGGCATATTTTTGTTTGTATTGTCCTATTACGCATCGACTCCTTCAACTTAATGCGGAGTCGACCCAGCCTCTTGAAAGATTTAATGCTTGCCAGGTAATTGTTTTGCATTTAGTTGATATATCAGTATTCAGTTAGGTATCCCAAGTCATTAGTCGTTGAGGTGGAGTCTCTCTGTAAGTCAGTCATGTTTAACAGTCATAGAAATGCTTGTCAAATAATGGCACTGTCGAGGACATGTATTCAGCTCGAACAATCGCTGGGCACAAGCTGGTCGTGTGGTTACAGGCAGCAAACATCCCGGTTGGAACGTCCTATTTCGCAATGTAGCTGCAGACTAGGTGAGGGCCCCACTCATAAACGTCTATACTTTTAGTCTCTTTAAGCTGGACCACTTTTAAAACTACAAGCCTTTGCAGCAAAAACAGCATGACGCATGATTATAAGCTCGACGTACCATGGCGTCCAACTAGAAGGTCGCATGGCTTGCTTTGTGCACTGAATTTGCAAGGATGGCTTGAAGCTTCTGTCGTGGTTAACTTTAAGCTGAGATAGTTTAAAATAATGCTCTCAGTTTTTAGTGTTGCCCGGCATGGTTAACAAGTTGGTGATATAGCGCTGCATTGAAAAGTCTGTGCATTCATGACCATCACCTTATGAATGCAAGCTACCTATTAAACTCTTCGTTTTTCAGAGAAATGAAATGCACTTTGCTTCCAATTGCACCCGCTTCTGTAACTTCATGGTATGAAGCACCTTATGGCTGCAAGCTCTGACCGATCTTGTTCTGTGGTCTGCGCAGGCCCATATGAGGGAGTCACTCCGAGAGCCTCACCAGAGTTTCCTGCCCGTGGTCGTTCTAAATGTTTTTGTTGTAGGTATGCATCCTTTCTGTCTTTCCCTTAATTGTACTCAAACGTCTTCTTTTCATTGTCGCCGATTTGCCTCAAAATTGGTTAAGCACACAAATGCACGCTGTACAACTGTATTGTACATATTTTTTCCAAGGTAACTTTTCTTTGCCAAAGTTACAGATCTTTTTATGAAGGTTAGTCTTTTTTGTTTTTATTTTCAAATTTATGTGAGTTTCCATGGGCAACACTAAAACGTTATGCCAGAAGCAAGGACAAGTTCACTGCTCTAATTTGTTCTCAACTGATTGCAAGAAATTTCGTTAATGTCGTGAAACCTCCTTCCAGCGCTTGCTTTGCAGCATAAAAAAAAATTATACATGGGACATGCTCTGTTTCTTAAACTGCTTGCTCATTCTGCAGGTCTGCCTGCCATAGATATCGTGCTACTGGAGAGCAGGCGAATTCGATTGCTGGTTTTGCCATTGCTTTTTTTTTTTTTAGACGTTGTCTTGTCTTAGTAGTTCTTGTAAATTTGGAGATTTTCCTAAAAAGCAAGCCGGGAAGATTATTTAGTTTCGTTAGGAAGCTGAAAATAATGATTTAGTACCCCTTTGTCAGTAAAATAGATACTGTGTGCCGCTGTTAGTGTCAAGCCGAGATCCACGCTTTTTTGGCATTTTGCTCAGAGTGGTACCCATTCTTATTCGTTAGCCTCTTGGTGTGCCAACTAAACTCTTTGTATACAGACACCTGCCCTCTGCTGGTACACTCTACCCTCATGTTCAGCGAGTGTATGAACCGGAGTTGTATCCACAGTCGACACTCGCTGAGCACGAGGGTAGGAAAATCTTTCCATTGCAGCAGAGCCATATATGGGGAGAGTCTGGCAGTCTATGATTTCGCTGCCGTAACGTCTCCCTTCCGAGTGAGCTGATCAGCCCGCGGCACAGAGCAAGAGGCGTGAGCGCATGCGCGTGAACTCTAGGCTGCTCCCAGCTGAACGGGGAGGGCCGCCATTTTCATTCATTCGCCCGGCATGGGATCGATATTCAAATTTCGGTTCTTTCCTTTTATTTGGCAGGCTCTGGCAATAAAATGATATAGTGTTATTGCTCGGTGGCTTAAAAACCTAAAGAAAGAAGTTCCTCCATGTTTGAACGCACTTTTATTTAGGCAAAAATAAATAAATAAGCCCGTAGCAGACGACACGTAGCCTCAACAGTGCTCCGTGCAGACAGCTTTGCGTCAAAATGGTGGTCGTCTCCTCTTTCTTTCTCTGCTGCCTTCTCTCTCCCTCCTTCGGCGTTCTCCTCCCTTTCCTCCTCTCCGGCGCCTTCGTTGCCACACCCGCTGGCTAAACTCTCCCACTATACGGCTTTGCATTGCAGTAGTAGTTTTATTTGTAGTCTTTACAGTTGAATGTGAATATTTGACAGAAGTCTCAGGTTGGGGCGAAAGGGGGTTAAATGAATGCATTTGATCATTCACCTAAATTCGGTACCCATCATTTTAACGCCTACGTAGCTTTGTCCTGGGGGGTGACTATGACTAAAATAAGAGGATCTATGTGCTGATCACGAAAGAATATGCTAGCCATTCTAATGTAGCTCTGCCAAGTACTTGATTGTGATTTGTTTTTATTTTCAGCTACTTGGGTGCCTCAAGATCTGGAGATCCTAGTGGCCACAAGCTTGGACTCAATCTTTTTCTGTGGTCTGGGCAGGACCATGGGGGAGGTAATCCCAGCAACAAGAGCATCGCAGTATCTCCCTGGCTGTGACTTTCGGTCTGCGTCACGACACGGGAGTCCTCGTGCCACCAGGTGTTAGGTATGCCACTTGAAATAAGCATTTTTCTTACCTATTAATAGAACAGCAAAAGCACTACTAAGCCTAAAATGCAAAAAAACATATTCAAATCTTGGGTTGGATGAAATTCCAATTACAAAAAGGAGTCTGCAGACATGATTAACATGTGAACTTAAAGCCCGCGGATGTAGGTTCGACGGTGTCACAGAAATAACTTCCCGCAGATCGCCTTGCTCGTGCTATACCCAAACAAATTCTTAAAATAATCATTGTGTTTCGTCTGTGTCATCAATCTTATGTCCCTACCACACTCACCAGTCGGGACATGTGAAATATAAAAAAACAGGAACTTGCACATTGTCAGCTCTGCAAAGATTTATATAGTAAACAGAGCATAGCATGTTCAGCTTAAGAAAAAAATTCAGTGCAGGCCTATATTCATGGTTCACATATGTGTAATTGCTCTTTATAATGAAGTGAAAACTGCTTAAGTTGTGGCCCACAACAGGCTTTCTATAAGTGTTAAAAAGTGCGGTAGAAAATATGATTGTGCTTGGAAGACGGGGACATAGGAAGGACAGACACAACAGAGCGCTAACTTTCAAGTGATTTAATTCAAGAACCTCAGCGTAGAAACGGACTGTGTCACCGCACCACATCTCAACCAATCCGTGGCCCTGCCACGGACCGCAAGTACACCAACTCCTTATCCGCCAAGTCAATTGACGCCACACTGACACAACTTGTGCCGGAACTATTTATAGTGTCAGCCTCCATAATCTCGCTAACAGTCCTATCTTTGTGCCTCTCAAGAACAATAGACGAAGCAAATAATGGTTTGCACCCGCAGTCATGACAGTGACACGACAGATCATGACTGCGAGTGCAAACCATTATTTGCTCAGTCTACTGTTCTTGCTAGGCACAAAGATATGACTGTTAGAGAGATTATGGAGGCTGATGCTATAAATAGTTCCGGCACGTGTTGTGTCAGTGTGGCGTCAATTGACTTGGCGGATAAGGAGTTGGCGTACTTGCGGTCCGTGGCAGGGCCACGGATTGGTTGAGATGTGGTGCGGTGACGCAGTGTGTTTCTACGCCGAGGTTCTTGAATTAAATCAGTTGAAAGTTAGCACTCTGTGGTGTCTGTCCTTCCTATGTCCCCGTCTTCAAAGCACAATCATGTTTTCTAACGTACCGTACCAACTTGCCCAACAATCAGCACTTGCTAAAAAGTGCTATTGTGTTTTAAGAAGCTCGCACCAAATATTTTCTTGAAATACATAGGTTCATGGAAATTATTATGTAGATCTTGGCAGACAGTCATGGTGAGGCCAATCTTTAATGCCAAGTGGTCCACTTATTCAGAGTTAATTGAGTTTGTAAATATTGTAGGTCGCAAATTAAATTTTAATGGTACGCAATGGGCACAATCATCCGTAATGACTAGCTCTACCTAGGGGAACTTCATACGTTTACTACGGCAAGATGGTTTCGAAAAACAAAGTATTTAGTTTATTCAACTCCTGCACTAACCTTGTCTTTAGAAACTTTTTATATTCTTTGCGATGCTGAGATAAGATTCTGGAAATAGTTTTTCTAGAACTACTCTAGATATTTCCAGTTCATCATTTTTCTCGCAAAGCATTCGAGAGAGCCAAACCCTGTAATGTACGGAGGGAACTCACAGAATGATGCGACTGACAGTTTGGAACATTCGGCACTGTAACAGTAATAATGACATGTCACTTATGTAATGTTCATTATCGCAGATCAAACTGCTTTTTCCGTCTACACTCATTTTCAGTAGACTCATTCAGCGAACTCCCACCTGAGACTGCAGCGCTGGGTTCTGCAAAGTAATTTGAATGAATATAGATGCAACAGGTTTCTTTGAGCGTGCGTCTAACACATATTCTTCATATTGAATCTGCTAACTGTATTCATGTCCATAATTCCACATTCCAGCTTATTTTTATTTTCACATTTGAGTTTTCTTCAGTACTTTTCTCAACATCTGTGCTTGCTGAGCCGTACTCAAGTCCATACATCTTGTCTTTCGCTATTACATTAATATATAAAACTGTTGATGCCGAGTGAGAATTCAAGGTACCGAATCTGTCGTGCGAGCTAAATAAGAACCAATAAAAAGCTCTACAAAGGAAATTTTGTTAAAGGATGCTGTATGGGCATTAGAATAGCACATGCCATGCTAAAAAAAAAATACAAATTCTTGTTAGGTATGCGAGGATGACAGTGCTGTGCTGTTTCTGATGTGTCACAAAAAAAAAAAAAAAATCAGTGCCATGCAGTGTTCCTTATGGAAGTACAAACTGTTGAATTCGAAGCCCAGAAGTTTTATTCAAGAATATTCCTCAATACAAATGTATTTAGAGATCTGAGCCGCTGACTCATACATGACTATGTGGCAAACATTAATTTTCATGTGGATTATAGTTTACAAGGTCTAGTCTGCATTGATTTATTGCATTCATGCTGAAACTGGGAGGGGTTCCCTGGGTATGAATAAAGAGATAAACATTTCTTGAAATCAAAACATTTGAGAACGGACAAAAGGAAGGATCTGAGAACGGTATCTTAGATTCTCTTCTTTTTCTTACAGTATCTCTAATGTTCACTTTATTTCACCTGATGCATTTAGTTTTTAGCGCAGCTCTTAGCACCCGTTTCCGCGTTTCGCGGCGTCGCTGTCGGCGTAACCACCCAACTAAACTTGGCAGGAAATTGAATTAACGTTGTGGTCATGTGACGTTAATATTTCCGCTAAGTCTAGCTGAGAAACTGAATTTTTTTATGGATGACGTGACACGGTCATGCGACGTCATTTTCCCCGCTACTTTTAGCGGAAAAACTGCATTTGTGTTGAGGTCATGTGACATTAATTTCTGCGCTAAATTTAGTGGGAAACTTAACCAGCTAAATTTAGTGGTGAAATTTTCCCGCTAAATTCAGGAAAGTTCCCTGCTAAATGGGAGGGAGCAGAAGAGGAGGGGAGGGGGAGGAGGGGCATACCTTCCCATCCTGCTCTTCAAGATCTGTGCTCTAATTTCACGTTACAGAGAATTGTAAACGTCTCATATTTCATCTCATGTTTATTCAACTTTTATATTGCAGGTGCGCTCACAGCACAAATCTGGGTTGTGCTGATCCTCTACGCACAAGTTAGGAACTCCTGAGTGGCAAGAGTGGGAGTTTGGTCTGACAGCTCAAGGGACACCATTGTTCAGTATTGAATTTTTAATAATCTTCTTTTAAGCAAAGTTAAGCTTTGCTGCATGCAGTTCTTGTAAAAATAAATACCTGCAACCAAATTTACCAGGTCACGACATTTCGCCTCTGCTCTTAGTGGTCCTGGTGAGCCTCGGATAAGAGCTTACTGGTGTGCAAACACCATGCTTGTTTGAAACCACTCACTGATGTAGAGACTCGCTGACATCCAGCATTCCAATGAAACGCTGGATGTCCACAAGTCTTTCTTGAACAATGCAAGCGGGAAAGGAACCATACAATCGTGTCGTATTGGGGGACATTCTACAGAGTTTTTTTTCTATGTTTTACAGATTTTTTTTAAAAAAAGCCGTAAAAGCTACATTTACGCGGTCTGTGCACGTGAGTTATATGGCCAGGGCGGCATAGTATAAAAGGCTAATTTGTAATGATCCGTCGGCTTATTACAGAGATATGCCAGACTTCTTTCAGAAAACTAGATGGAGGTTCATTCTAGCGTAGTTTTATCCCGCGAATCTGAATATCCCGTTCGTTTTCCTCAAAGATATAACTAAACGTGAGAAAACACAAAAAACATCCCACCAACAGTGACATCGTAAGAAGACCTTTCGGCCGCCAAGCGTGTGTCGCTTAAGGGCCGCGCGTCCAATCGCAAGTTTTCTAGGTATATTCTCCGGCACTGGCACCAGTCGTGACACATTTTTCTGCCCTTTTAAAAAATAGCACGTGCGTGCATAGCTTTGATAGGCGCTGAAGATGCGTGAACAAAGATTTTGAAAGCTGCTGTTGTGACGTCGCTCTCTAGGGAGGTGCTTTCACAGCGCTTTAAAAATGACTATGCAGCCTTGATTAATTAAATTAGCAAATAATTTTGATATTTGAGATTCTCGAGGTCGAATGAAGAAGATTTAAAAGTGTTTTCTCAAATATAAAACTGCTTCAGCCTCTCTCTAAGTATAGTAGGTTCGTGAAATTTTTAATCAGTGAAAATAGACCCATGGTTCCAATTAGAAACCTGCTAAGCATCATCAAAACACACTAAATCAATTTTCTTTGTAAAGATAGACGAGTAGCATTATATGGCGTTATAAAAAAATGGTCAATTTGGATGCATTTGGACTTCGGTTTCTTACCAGAGCGCATCTTTGCACCTGCGGTCCAGCTGCCCGGTGACCGCAGTGCGAAGCCGCCCCCTCGCCTCCCTCGTAGGATGAAGGGAAGCAAGGCGCATGTGTGTTGCGTGTCTATGCCCCTGGGGAACAGGACCGTGGGCGCAGAGATGAGCTCTGATAAGAAACTGAAACCTAGAAACTCGTCCAAATAAAGCTTTTTACAGAATGCATAAAACGCTACCCCTGAATTATATCCTTCTAAAAAAAACTTGATTTTGTGGTTTTCAATGACTCAGCAAGTTTCTAATTGAAACCATATTTTTATTTTCACTAATTAAAAAGTTGATTAACAAATTGTATTTAATTATCTGACTGATCGTTACGACTAGGTCCCTATACTACGTACGCCTGGCCGTATAACTCGCCTGCACAAACCGCATTAATATAGCTTTCACGACCTTTCTAAACATATATGTAAAGCTTGAAACTAAATCGCCCTGTACAACAGTGAAAAGGCGAAACCAACACGCTGGAGCCATATGGCTCCACCATGCTGGTATCGCCTTTTTGCTGGTATAGGATGTCCCATATTACGTTATGCATGTATGGTTCCGTCCGCCTACATGGTTCCGCCTATATCCACTACGCTGGTATAGGATGTCCCATAATACGACACGCTTGTATGGTTCCGCCCACCTGTATCGTTCCGCCTTATTCCACTATACTGGAGCCGCCTTTTTCGCTTGTATAGGATGTCCCATATTACGGTTATGCTTGTATGAGCCTTTTCCGTCATCTTTCCATCATCGAGATTTTCCAACAGGGATCCGCTGCCTATGTTGACGGCGGCAGCGCCTATCTCCAAGCAAGCAAGCAAAACTTTATTTTGTGTAAGGGCCTACGTCCTGGTCTGGACGGCCCGTCCGGCCCATGTCTCGCGGATGGATTCCGTTAGGTTACCGTGTAGCCTTGTTCGTGGGGCAAGGCTCCACAAACCAGCCAATCCGGCGTGCGTGAGCACCGTTGCTAGGGTTCGTATCGCCTGCGCCTTAAAAATATGCCCGCGCGGGTCGGGGGGCAGTGCCCTTGGTATTCCTTGGGCGCCGCCGGCCTGTGTCTGCTCTGCCCAGTGGCGGCCGTTTCAGGGGGGGCAAAACGCATGCCTTGCCCCCCCCACTCTGAGAGCTGGGGGGGCAAGTGCCCCCCTTGCCCCCCCGGTTGGTACGCCCATGGCCATTGCCCAGTTTGATCCCTTTCTGGGCGAACACATTAAGCGCCATGAAAACAAGGGCAGAGGCCACCCATCATACCTGTCAAAAGCAGTTTGTGACGCATGTATCGAGCTTATGGCAAAGGCCGTCAAAGACCGTCTTGCTGACGAGGTTAAACTGGCAAAATATTTCTCTTTAATAATTGATTCGAATCCAGACTTTACCCACGTTGACCAGCTGTCAGTTGTTTTAGGCGACTGTTTAACAGAAGAAGTGCATGAACGCTTTCTAGGATTTGCTCCGATTTAATCGCATCAAGGGTTGTATAGTTTCGCAACCGTGATGTGTATGTTGAGAAGCAATGGCATCTCGATTGACGACTGCAGGGGCCAGCCGTATGACAACGCGAGTAATTTGTCGAGGAAGTACAAAGGACTGCAACCGCATGTAAAATACCTCAACAAGTTGGCCGTTTACGTCCCGTGCGCGGGCCATTCACTAAACTTTGTTGGAGCGTGTAGCGTCGATGGTTGCCTTGAGGCCGTCAAATTTTTAGTGTTACTCAGAAACTGTACGCGTTCTTTGTTGCCTCCCCTAGGCGGTGGAAATATATTTTAGACAGCATGACTAAACTGGTGAACACATTGTTCTAAACAGCCTCTCTGAAACCAGATAGTTACGACATTCAGAGTCATGTACGACCGTTCGTAAAACTTTCAGGGGGATGGGCCTTGACCTATCTCAAACAGGGATGGGCAGTATTTCAAATACAAGTATTTGAAATACGTATTTCAAATACTTTGTGTATTTTGCATTTGTATCTACTTGGGTTTCGTCCAGCGAACCCGGCGCTTGCTTCACCGGCAGACTGTGCGTAGGTGTGTTGGTGAAGGGGTGACGGAGGGGTAGGGGTTTTCGCAGGACCAATAAAGAGGTTTTCCACCACCACCACAAATTGGGTAATGTATTTGACGTGTGTATTTAAATACTAAAACGTGGGTATTTCAAATACAATTGTAATTAAATACAATTTTGTGGGCGAAAATACGTCCCTCAAATTTATTGTCACTATCCAGAGCAGGAAGAAAATTATGTTCTGCACCCAATGCAGTGTCTCTCAATCAAGCACAAGCGTTTAGTGACTTTGTGATTACGGTGCTAGTCCAAGGCAAGAATAGTGACGAAATCGACGTTCACAGGTAGACTGGCTAAATAAGTGCCTGTGACAACTTGTGATGCTTTCCAGCCTGATTTCCATCCATATTTTTGCCTGGAACCTTCTAAATGCGCGGGTCGTCCATATTTTCGTAACTGGTGCGAGTTGCAACAATAAAAAATTATCTGGCTAGTGCTGCGCGTCTTGGTCGTCTCGGTTCTTTGTTGGTCTATACCAAAATGTAATCGAAAAAAAAAGCTGCTTGAAGCTTTGTACTTTTTTCACCTATTACGTCCAAGCTGACTACATTTTTTTGGGATTATATTTCTATTACGTTACGAGAGCCCCGCACACTAACTCCCAAGTGTGCGATGCGAAATTAAATTGAAATACCCAGAAACCCATAGCAGATGCCCTAAAGTCGCTAACGCAAATTTTGAGGAATGTATTTGGAAAAGTATTTGGAGGAGACCAAATACAATTGGTTGTATTTGTATCTTGTACTTACATGCTTTTTTGGAAATGTAATTAGATTTGTAATTAAATACATTTTTGACGAAGTATTTTGTATTTGTATTTCGATACATATTTGCATGTATTTTGCCCATCCCTGATCTCAAATAATGGAGAAGAGAACAGGGTCACCCTGAATGAAGCGTGCTCTCTTTTTAAGAAAATGGAGTGAAATCTTGGAGTGGTTTTGACAAACCCAGTGCAGCACTCCAGAAGCCTCGCTTAGATATTTCGGCTGCTTTCGATGTTCTAAGCTCTATGGAAGGGCTTGTTATTTCGTTGCGACCTCTCTTTGATACCTTTGAAGCGAGAGCACGCATGTTAAGTACCATTCAGTGTTATCAGGATGACGGCAAACGTATCGTTTTGAGAAGTTACCCGGACGGAAAAAGCGATTGTGCGCTACAAGGTAGGAAACATTTTCTTACAGAGACCTACAATGTCGTACTTGACAGTCTGGGCTCTGCTTCGCGGGTGCGAAAGGTTGCCTATGCCGAACTCTGCTAAAAGTTTTTGTTTTTAAAATTGCTGACAGAAGTTTGGAGCGAGATGTCAGTGGCACAGCAGGACGAGAAGTTGGTGAAAACCTACAAAATGATTTAGAGCCAGCATTTTTAACCGCGGTAATTCAGTTTTCAAACTTATTGCAAAGTTCTGCATGCCAGGACACGAGGGCCCTAGAATTAATGCAATTGCTGCACGAGTGAAAACTTATTCCTGTGTTTCCAAACCTTTTGATTGCATTGCGAATATAGCTAAGCATACCCCTGGTAAATTGTGAAAGCGAGCGATCGTTTTCTAAGTTGTCACTGATAAAGAATCGCCTTCGTTTTAACATTATGGATGGGAAGCTGAACTTGCTTGCTATTATGTGAATTGCGAGTGACCTTTTCCACGATTTATCTTTTGAACAATATATATCAGATTTTGCCAAAGCGAAGGCGCAAAAGATGCAAGTTTAGAGGAATGAATTAGTAGTGCTATATACTTTAATGCTCGCGCCATCTGTCCTAACTTCCACGTTGTCGAGAAAGCGCTTAGCTGCCAATAAAAAAAGTCGAAGTTGGCTCTTTGTCTCGTGTTTGTTATTCTTACGATATCCTTTCAA